AGGTCTTCTCTGACTTCTTCTTCGCGTGTTTCTGCTTGTGCAAAGCAACGCGGACCTTGGTGCGAAACTCCCATTCGAAGAAACCATTTGGATTGCCACTGTAGATGTATGATCCGCTCTTCGTTTCCTGTGGTCCTGAGATACTTCCTCCATGGGATGTGTACCGCAGGCCAGCCAGCGACATCGCAACTCAACAAGCTTCGCAAAGCACTGGAATTACAACGGTTCGACGGATTGCGCGCAGGGTCACGCAATTGGGTTCAACGGTTTTGGATCCAGCGAGTCTCCCCGGGTGAGTCAGATCCTGAGGGTGCCCCTTCAGAACCTGCTCCGCTACCAGTTTGAATCTCGCACAGTTCCTTTTCGCAGCAGCGAATCAGCTCAAGGGCCCTATTCAGCCGAAACAGCAGCGACGGTGCATCAACTGTACGCAATACACCCTGGCTACAACCGCTGAAATTCACACATGTACAGTTGGGTGGTTGCTCTACCACGATCTTCTGTGGGATAAATGTTTAGACTCAGGCTTGACAAAGGTGCATGCCGCCACACTTACTGCCACACTTACTGTAGGTTACCGGCGGAACGGGCTGTTCTAAGTGTTTGCTTGATTGGGGGGCAGGCAGGGATCGAAGTGCTGAATGAGGTCTGCGTTGGTTCGGCATGTTTCTGTAACGCCGCATCTAGAGGTGCTTGCTGCTTGCTGAATCCGGGCAGCCATCTCTTCTCAAAGTCTTCTGCAGCAACGCCACCCTGTTCCCTCTGCTCCTGCCGGCACACAGCACCCCTCTGCTGATCCGGTCGGGAAGCAACAACTTAATGGTGTGCAGGGAGGTTTCACTGCAAATCCTTCACTGGGGAGCAACGGTTTGCTGACAACTTGAGTCCATTTCAACCTGGCTTTGTACCATGCGAACTTGTGCCAAAACCGCTCAGACCACTTCTGAGTAGGAATGTCTCACTCGGCACCTTGAGCCAGCACATCACCTCCGCATCCTTTTGCTTGCCCTGATCTCTAACCTGGCACGCCAGTCGCAGAAACCAGGATCACCAGGGATCGCCGAGAAACAAGGATCATGGAGAACTCAGCTGCTCCACTTTGGGTGGTTTCATGAGATCCAACCTAAATCCCTTGGACATGATTTGGGGTGCTCCCACTCAACACGGTGCTGGTGGTTTTATCATGGTTTCTTCTTTTTACGGAGACCTTCTAGCCACCAAAGGTAAACCGTTGAAAGCATAATATGATTTCGCAAGGTTTGCAGCATCGGCCCAAAGTCAACGAAGTCTTATCACCAGCACATGATGGGAAACCCGTTTGAGCTCCTACACCGAGTTGCACGCCTCCAAAAAGGAAATATATCCATATCAAGCCGCATTGGCATATACAGCATTGGTGCTGGCAAAGCTCCTTCCGATTTCTTTCTTTAGTATCTATACTGGCCGCGCCCCAGCAAAAGTGAACGCTTGTCAAATTCCTACATCCCCAAAAATGATCACAACATATCACAACACCCTCCCGTCTCATGTTCACCATCCATACTTCCGTGTTTTGTGACGTGTTGTGCGCTTCGTGTGGACCTCTTCCAAATCTCCAGTAGGTATAGCTAGCCACCACCCCCCACCCCGATGACCCCACCATGCCTCTGGAGCACCACCTCTCAATTCATGCTCCCCATGGGCGAAGGGGCACGTGGGACCCTTGACCTCGGCAAAGGCGCAACGTGGAGCTGCATTTCTAGTCCGGACAGGTGCGGAAGTATGTGAATGGAGCAACCTCCTTCCTTTTGGCATCAGTCTTCCAATGATATCAGCGAACATCATGATATAATGATACAAGAATGATGGGAAAACCAGTCATGATGTTGCTTTTGCATGAGTCACGTTCTCACACATGTGCTGAATGAGCACAGTAGCCGAACCTTGATTCACGTTCCTATTATTTCAAGTCAACGACCGAGCTGCACCAAGCAAAACCTCCATGTTGTCCCCAACCTTTGGTTTTCCAGAAACCCCATCCCAGGGATTTAACTAAACCTCTTCACCTGCATTTATGTACCTAACATCAATTCAAGGGAAGAAACACACAAAACAAACGTGTGTGTGTGTGTATATCGGTCAAAAAATCATGGAACGCTTTTTGGTGCGCGTGTGGCGTATGGCAATCCACAAGAAAGGATTTAGGTGATCCAGAGTTTGGCCTAGAGCCTAGAGCACCCAAAGCATCCAAAAGTCCTGCATGTCAATGTGATCCTTACGACTTACGAGTTCTGCATCATGACACCCAATTGCATGGACATAAATGGACAACTGCATGTAGCTTTCTGACATGCATGCATGCCCCGTGTTCTGGACACTTACAGTTCCACGTCTACCACCAGATGCCTATGCAATCTGTCTCGCTGGATAAGGCTTACAGCTTCTTCCAAGGCTCACATTTGCCATGCTCAAAGAATGTGCAAATCTCAGTCTTGTAGTTGTAGCTGTAGCTCTCTACCTTGCCCTGCACGGCTCCGCGCCCGCAAAATCAGGTTCTGCTTGGTCAAAGCATGTTGATCAATGCTCACTTCGGTGCTTAATGTGTCCACTGCTCCTCGCGAGCTACTCAGCTACTCGTCCCATGTGATAGATATTGCTTAGGGCTTTCAAGGGCGCTGTTCTTTCAGATGCGCTGTCCAGAATGTTACATCTCACATACCTGGACCCGTGGAACGAAGATCATCCGCCCTCACCACCACCTTTGACGCGACCCCCCCTCCAGGCCTTCCCTTTGCCAAGGCCCTTGAAGCCTTTGCCCTTCGCCATGATCGATGTGTAAAAAAACAGCTGCGAAGCCACCAGCAAAACGGTCGGCGCTTAAGTCTGCACAAGCACCCAGCTGCAGCAAATGCGAAGGAGAATTCGTCGAAGTTCGTAAACCCCTTACCCCCCTGTATAAGGTGGAATCTTCTCGGATATAAAATTGAACTATGACGTTCTCACGCCCCAAACAAATTCCCATGAATACCTATGTTAAGGCATAGTTGTGGCATGTTATGGCATAGTTCCCATGAGTTAGGCCCGGATTTCGGGCGTTTACGGGAGATCAGATCCCATGAGATCCGTCCCTCACTGGAGGGCCGAGTATGCCGCGCCAAACCGGCCTCGCCGAGATCTGACACTCCGGACCTGCGGTGAAGAGCAGGTCTGAGCATGTCATACAATAGGTTTAGAGGAAGGTTTGGCACAACTGCCATGATTGATGGATAAGGTGGCAAATACCATATGGACCATATGGACCATATGGATCCCAGATCCCCATCAAAATTGCTCTCTTAAATGGGCGGTTTGGGTCATCCACCTTTAAACCTTTTGGCTAGTCACCTGCTGCCCCTACTGCACCAAAATGTTGGAGGAGAGTCCAGGCTTCCTCCGTGCGTGTGCGGCGCGGAAAACGAACATCACACTGAACATCACGTATTGGCAGTAGTCTAGGTGGGGCACAGCTGCCGATACCTGCTGCTTCCAGCTGCACAAGCTGGTCAAACATTGCTGTTGTTTCCAAGGGTCCAACAGCCTACAGCCGCCAACACTACCTGCTTTGCACTATAGGCATGTTCAACCTAGGTAGCCTTCTCACCCCCCCAACACGAGTGAGGCGCCCGGCATCATCCGTGGACGAGTGGCAGGGGAAGAATTTCCGGCCTATGGAGGACGGGTGGATGCTTAAAAAGCCATGCGCGTGGTGGCGCCGACCAATGGGGGGTGCGTTGCACAGAACATTCAATCGAAAGGCGGTCTTGGAACGTGAAAGGTCTGACAAAGCTACGTCAGTTGCGCAATTGCTTGGGCTTCAAGATGGGCTCCTTGAAGAATTCCAGAAACATGTTAGAACCATTGTTCCGATCCTCTAAAACCCGAGCTCTTCCCAACCGCGATTGATGATACGAAATGAGTGTCACCACTTGGGCTCAGCCTTCTACAATAGTCAACCCACTGAGCATCTGTCGACCCCCTCAATGCAGGTGACCATGATAAGAGCATCTTGCTGCATTCACCAGCTGCTTGGCACACATAAGACGACTTGAGCCATCTTGAGACCACTATGCAAGCAAGACATTGCACTCCCACTCATGACCGGTTTATTATATAGTTTACTTTAACTTTCAGGGGCCATGCCAAGGCATGACCACGGGAGGGTGGTCTGTGCCTTCGACCCGGCTTCACTCCTCGGCGCCCGGGCGAGTCCGAAGGAAGAGGAGCGCTGCTTGGGCGTCCCGGTGCTCGCGGGCCTCGACCCAGAAAGCCCAGACATGCCCAGAGAGGATTGTCCAGGCGTTCGTGTGGAAAATAGAACAAGCAAAACGTATAGGATCTGTATATGTTGCGAATGGCCATCCCGGATGGAAATCGTTGAAAGCCAACAAAACACCAACCGCACTCATGCGAAGAAATCTGGATGGTCCTGATGAAATCCTGAGAACACATGCTTCATATAATGAATTTATGTGTGTGGCAGGAGGCTTCATTCCTACTACACCTCCTCACCTGTCTTGCCCCAGCAGCCTAGAAAGAGGCAAAGGAAAGCGATGCTTCTGTTCTTCTGCCTGTGGGAAGTCTGATGCTCCGAAACAACTGGGCGGAGCAAACCCTGCATGCATCACGATCATCATGACCAGTATAATAATGAACACCATGCATATACAGTAATATATATATATACGCAGGTATGCATATGTATATATATATATATATGTATCGCAAACCTCTGAGTCATCATGGTAACTGATGGTTTCTGCATACTTCTGCGAAATTGCTGTCTGCCTTTCTTGGCAACCAATCTGAGTACAATGCCTGCATGCCTTTGTCAAAAAAACGGGCCACAGGTCGAAGTCTTTTGCTAGCTCAACGTGGCTTCCAGTGTGTGGAAGGCTAACGAAACTCACAAGAATCAATCGATTGAACTCTACAATGGTTTACACTCCGCGGCGAGGATCTGCGCTCGGCATTTCTCTACCCTCTCAGTCTTCCAGTTCAAGCTCTTCGTGGTTAAATTGGCCTCGGACGACTTGAGGGCTCGAGCCCTGTGTGTGGCAAGGGTTGGCTTTGAAGATGCCAAGGGCTCGTCACAAGACGTTGATGTGGTCAAGTGTTGATATGGATACCCATTAGAGTGAGATAGAGTCCACCTCAACTTCTGGAAACCTCTTGATCAACTCCCTTTATCCCCTCCCCAAATGCACCACATGTGCAGACATCCCCTCCCCAAATGCACCACATGTGCAGATTCATATAGATTCATCTCATTCATGAATGGGATTTCCTGGGCACAGGCCGTGACATGTCCAAATGGTACGAGAGGTTACCCTAGTCCCATCCTCCCCACCGACCAGGATGAACCTCCATACGATCCGCGTCCACCGTCCAAGCGGCCGATACCTTCCTTCAACAGCCAGGTGGGCGACAGCTCCGCCAGCTTCCGAGCATTCTCGGGGAACCTCCGTTGGGTCCGCTTTTGGGAGGAAGACATTCCTTCACAAGTGTGGTTGAGGGGGGCCTGGGGGGATCACATGCGCAGTATGTAGATTTGTGTGCGTGTGTGTGCATGTATCAATCATACCAAATGTCTGAATATTATGCATCTTTCATCAAATGCATCCATAACTATCAATTGATATACGTGATATAGATCCAGCATCACCCTGCCTGGGATCTGGCAGTGCCACTGTCAAGGCTCCAGCAGCCTTGCCACAATCGAAAATCCATGCGAATCCCTGCTTAATCAAGTGGGTGGTTCAGGTGCTGCAGGTGCTGCAGGATGAAAGCAGCAACAAATTCCGAACGGCATTCTTCCAGAAAACCTGTGCACACTCGACTGAACGCCAGGGAAACTGGATCTGGCTTCCACTGGCTGATGCCAAAAGGTGTGGTTCCCTGTGACCTTACGGTGCTGAAGCTACATCAGGCCTGTGCCCCACGGATGCCCAAGGGCGAGTCCTCAAACCTCAATGAGGGCGGCCAAATGCGCAGCATGGAACCGAGCATGTCATGGCGTGATTCCTGAGAAGCATGAGATGATCAGGAATTAAATGTGTGTGGAGTCAACAGAAGGGAGAAGAGTGGATGAAAAAGCGGAGCTGTCTGAAAGGCAATGAAGCAACCATATATATAGAGGCTATTAGAGGTAAAACATCACCCTACGCCGCCATGCTGCATTCCGTTTGGCATGTCGGTGGTCACCTGTAGCTGCTACTGAGATCCCCGGCACCACGCACTTGCTGGCGTTCTTGCCTAGCCGTCGTGCCGCCTCCTGAAAGATATCAGGCCTCGGCTACGATGCTTTAGCATGTTTAAACCGCCCTGACTCGAAGTGAATTGGGGAAGGGTAACTACCAGAGCCAACACCCTTGGTTCTTGCCGGTGGCGCATGCGCGCCCCAACTACAGTCTCCAATGGATCTCAGGACAAGATCTCCTTCTCCTTGACTCACTGAGCTAAAGATGTTCGAAAGAATGCAACCCACTCGGCACGTCCCATCTCCAGGCGGCGCGGGTTTCCCATTCTTCACCTCATCCCCGGTGACCACGGCATCCATCAAGGAGAGGATCTCCTCAACCAGCCGAACCCGACGGTCCGGCCGACATGCCCACCGGAGCGTTACTCCCCGAAATAATCATGGAAGCGGAAAACTACCTGTTTGTAGCGGAACTCTCCTTACATCGTAGATTTCATGTTCTCTGTGTCATTCACTGTCTCGTACCCGACGCAAGTCAAGGGACTTGACACTTCGGTGAAGTCCGTACGATGTGGGGGGAAAAAGATGGAAGATTGTCAAGGGACATTTTCATACATTTTCCACTTCCATGATTGTTTCAGGGAGTGTAATTACTTGGATGAGAAATGATGAGAGTTACATTTAGCGAGGCTGCTGCCATCTAATCTGTCTGAGCTCCTTGCACTATATAATGAGGTTGCAGAAAGGGATTCACTGCGCCTAACATTAAACATCCCGAGGCTCCCAAGGTGATTTAGCCAAAAGGCTGCAAAACCCGTCAAACAAAAACAGCCTGTGCCTTGTGGTACAGCATCTTCTGGTTGAAGGATGTCCTGAATTTGTACACCGGTCGCAAACTTGTGATTCTGCACTCATCAAGGCCAATTTTTGAGGGTATCAACAACATGGCGAAATACCGTGTCCCATTGGCCGGAGGGATCAGCGAGAAATGCTCTATTGTGGTCAGGCTATATCATGGCCAATGCATACAGTATTCTTATTATTCTTCACCCGATTATACAAATCTCTTGCGCACAGGACGGCTTCACTCATTGAAAAGAATATGAAAAAATATACAGTAAGTGCCCAAAAGGATCCAAAAGGCTATCAGAACCAGCTCACTTATCCAACATCCAATGTCCTTCTGCCATCACTTCTGAGCATCAAAAAAGACCTCTTGACCCCCCACGCCTGGGGCTGGAAGTGGCAATAGCCATTGGAATCCTGAAAGCTTTGTTGAAGTCTATGGGTTTGGCAATTCATGTGTGACCGCGTGTTGCCATGTTGTTCCATTGACTCAGCATGAAGGCCAGCCAAAGGGCAATGAAGTTCATGCACCATGGCGGGCGACTGAAACATGCGAGGAGGGTACAAGATGGTACCAGCACAGTGTGATGGCTACGTCAAGCTCCAACAGGGATCCTAGGCACTCGTGCAACTTTCACATCGCCCTCACGGAGTTTCATCAAGTTCTCGAGTGTAGAAAGTGTTTAAGGAGGTGCCTCAACAACGAATTTCAACTTGAAGGCTGTCAGCACAGGTCATCCCAATCTGGGTCCTGCAGGACTTCAACTTTCGAAGCAATTGTAGTGTTCCGGGCCAAGGTGGGATGGTTCCATAAAGCACCTGGCGAAGCCATGCACAGTACAACGGGCCAAAACTGGAACAAGCATCTGAGCTATATAACTTCCCCTTCAACAATCAATCACCCCATAAAATCAAGCCAATTCAAACATATTCAAACGATACTCCACAAACTCTCGAATTTGCTGAGCTCTTGCGTTTTGAGCATTAATCGAGTCAAGCCAGTTAAAAACTGACTGGATAGGAGCTTCCTTCATGGACCAGTTTGGCTCCCTGAAGCTGAATCAAAGGACCAAGGTCGATCATTCCAATAATTGAGCAGCCGCACCATATGGTACGAGCCCATGCTGCTCCACTCAACCATAGAGCACCATACGTCTCTGAGGTGGCACCAGTGCATCCCAAATACGTATGTGCGTGTCATGGCTGCCTGAGACGATGTAAAGGCCATCGGGGCTGAAGTCCACTGCCCACACCCAGTCGGTGTGACCCGTTAGGGTCTGCAGGCAGTTGCCAGTGGCTGCATCCCAAATTTTGACGGTTTCGTCATCACTTGCTGAAGCGATGGTGCCCCTTGGGCCAAAGGCCACTGCCGCCACCCAGTGATCATGACCTGTGAGCGTCTGCAAGAGGTTGCCCGTGGCTGCTTCCCAGACTATCACCGACTTATCACGGGACCCCGAGACTATTGTTCGGCCATCGGGACTGAAGGCCACCGAAAACACCACGTCGGTGTGGCCCTTCAGAGTGTGCAAGCAGTTTCCCGTCGCTGGATCCCAAATCTTGACCGTTGTGTCATCACTTGCCGAGGCGATGGTGCTGCGACTGCTGAATGCCACAGAATTCACCCATTTTGTGTGACCGGGTAGGGTGCGCAAAAAATTGCCCGTTGCTGTTTCCCAGATTTTCAGTGTATGATCACAGCTCCCCGAGACTATATGCCGGCCGTCGGGAGAGAACGCTACACTTTCTACAACATCAGTGTGACCCTCCAGGGTCTGCAAGCACTCGCCGCTGGTCGTATTCCAAATTTTAACTGTTTTATCTACACTTGCAGAAGCAATGAGGCCACCATCTGGACTGAAGGCCACTCCGTGCACCCAACCCGTATGACCTCTCAAGATCCGCAGACTTTGGCCCGAGGCCACGTCCCAAAGTCGGACCAAATATTCTTCATCTCCGGATGCCAAAGTGGTCCCATCAGGTGACCACTTTACGGTGTGGATCACCGATCCAACGCGGATCATTCGGGCTCCGGGCTCAGCACGATCTGAAGGCTGAGTGCTGCAGCCCTGCTGCGCATAGTACCCACAGAGTTTTTCAAGCGCCAACTCCACTGTGGACTTCTTCTTGCGCAGCTCCTCTGCATCCATTTCTGGGAAGTGTAATGGCACCAATAAATCGCTGATTGGCACCAGCTCATTGGTCTTGGAACCAATAGGTGCCAGGTTCTCTTTCACCTGTTCCGCCCATTTCTCAGCATCATTCCGCACGAATGCATCGCATCCAATGCAAAAGCCTCGGTGAAGTCAGTAGGCACTGGAGACAAAGAAGTGACCAAAAGGATTGCAAAATTGATAAACATGGTGACGCATACAAAAGGGCCAGGTTCTCGACTAGATGATGAGAAGCGTGTGACATCAATACAACGACGCAGCTAGGGGCCAAAGTTTCTAGTGATCCATTGGGTGAGTTGTGTTGATTTTCTATCTGTGGCAAATGTCTCGAGTATATAATATACTAAGGAGTCATTCCGCCAACGCATCAATATGACACTTGCATTGCTGGTCATGGTCTAATGCCATGTTTTTTGGGCAAACTCCAGATCAGGTTTGCAGGCTCTAATTTGCTTGTCTTTTCTCCTTGTCCTTTGTTGGCTTCCGTGTTCTTCCTTCAGCTCCTTCATTCTTGTAACTGTTATTCTTCTTCCCTCCTTCCTTTGCCCCCGGCATCATGCCATAGGCTGCACTCGTACACTACAGGCGGCATCAGTGATTCAAGCGCGCATTCAGAAAAGCAAACATGATTTCCGGCTATCGTTTGTGATCTCCATCTCTCTCATGATGCATGGCGGTCTCTAGTCTCGGCACTGATGATGTGATTGCTATCTGCGGTGATGGTGGTAGCCCCCACTGTCCCAGCATTAGGTACACCTGTACAACATGGCAGTATAGATCGAGTGGCTTGAACTGTTGAGCACTTGGGAGCTCGGTCCTTTGATGTACTGCATATTGTGTTGTAAAAGGATGACGTGGTGGCTGCCCCTTTCTCCTGTCCTGACGCAGTTGCGACACTGCAGTCAACCTGGGGATGATACGACGGTACGTGTCAAGTTTAACCGTGGACCTACTAAGACTACGATAATTATGCCTGGTCTTGGGGCTGCTGACACCTCCCTTAGGCACTTGCAATGCACTTCATACAAACTTCTAGGATTTCACCTGGATTCCCAGTTGGTGCAGGAACGTAAGCAATACCTTTCGAATATTATCGAATATTCAATGCCATTTTCCTTGAGCTATTGACTGCGGTTTCCCACCACCAGTGGTGTCAGCGGCGGTTGTCCAAAGAATAGGACCGGTTGTGCTGTACGCCTGCGAATTGCAAAAGACACATTTTCCCAAAATTGAATGCCTTGCAAGGCTCTTGGGCAAAAACCATTCTGAAAGCGCCCCCGGTTTTTGATTTCAAAATAGCCCTTGCGGTTGCCATTTGCCATGTATCGATGAAAACTGCGGCTTGCGTCCAAAGCGATCGCTTCTTGCCCAGAGCCTAGTCAAGCTGTCTCTAGTTGCTTCAGCCCTTCCACGCGACTGTGATTATGGTCAGGTTATCTAAGGTTGTCCCTGAGACACTTGCACTCAGGCCGTCTTCAACTTGATGAAGCACTTTCTGGCACCTATCCCGACCATAGAAGAGCCAGGCCTGTTTGAGGGACTTGATCTGAGCAAAGGTGTGGTGGACCCCGTATATAATTATGCATGTATATATATATATATCATATCCCACCTGCTCTGGAGCAGTATGATAATGAGGAAATTTGCCGTGCCGCCAGCAAGCACTTGTCTGGCCTGAACTTGACCTTCAGTGCAGGCGCTGATTGCTCATGTCGTTCTTGGGGCGCTTGCTTCCCGGGATTGATGTGGGTCTTTGTGACACTCACCTGGTGGTGGCCACGACATCAGAACAGCTCAGCCGTATTCACAGTTTGCCCTCATTGTAGCATGTGTGAGGTCCGTGGTTGCCATGTGTTACATCGGTGCCCGAGCACAGTGATGGCCTTCCAGCAGTTGGCCCTGCCATTTTGCCTTTATATCGTGTGACAACGACCCCCTCAGCGTGCCCTTAGGGGTATTGCAAGACACGCCACTTGACCCATTTTGCCCTTTCACACAAGGAGCTGGGCCCCCAGTGAATGGGAACATGCCGCATGCCCTACAGTGGTATTGTGCCGGTTTCTGGCGGTTCCTACTGATCCGCTGGTATTTGCTGTCATCTGTGTACATGGTCATCAGTGTTGATTTTCCAAAACTGTGGTGACCAGTTCTGTGGTGCACTGCGGTGGTTGCTATTGATGACCTGCCAAACACGCACAATGTATTGGCCAACTTAGACTTGGACAGCGTGGTTTCACAACATCAGTTCTGTAACAAGCGTAGCCATGCGTAGCCAAACTGCAACATAAACAAAGTCCTGCTGCACCGGGGCTCTTCATTGAGGAATCCTTCTACACGGGATGGGTATTGAACCGGAGGACACTCCGGCAACGTCGTCCTCTTACCCCTCCCCCTTCTTCTTGCTCAAGGACTGACCCCACTGCGTCTCTCCCAACCCGAAGCGATCAAAGCAAGCGATGACATGTTTGCTTGTACATGTTGTCGCATGCATATGCGTGCACTTCACTCTATTGTCCAGCAACCTGAAAGTGGCACTTCAATTCACAACATCCTTTCTTGAGCACTATTGAGGGCACTTGCTCAAACCGAGATGCTAGCATATCCACCAGACTCCCTGGCTTCTTCAAAGAAGTGTGCCACGCCATGCTTCGAGCTCATTTTGCTGCTGTAGTCAAAATATAGACCAAACCACCCGTTGGCAGCAGCGTCTACGCTGAAGCCTTCTTGTTTGGATGTCTCTTGCAGCCACCTGAAGCTGCCTCACATTTTAAGGCCCGGAGGCATGCTGTCACACAACTACATCTGTGTAATTATACACTATAATTATGCATTTATGCTATAGGCCAATTGGTGTATCCGTACGGCACACTATACCGTAGTATTCACTATAGACAACTGGGTACCGTGCAAAAATCCAGCCCAACGAACTGCCCGGCCCGTACCTGATAAAACTTGGAAAGACCCGTGAAACAATTGACCGATTAGCCAATTCCAGCCACTATCGTCCATCCAGGAGCGGATGCCCATGAGACCGCCAGACGAGATTTTGGCCGTGTAGTGGGTCCCATAGTTGACCTACGATGCTGATGCGCGGCCGCTCAACCAATTCGTGCTTCGTGCTCAAACCTGTTCAATCCAGATCTATACAAAATCACGGCACATGTGGCTAATTTCAATGCAAGCGTCGAGAAGATGTTCTATGACCCACTGCACCGCCTCTGCAGAGCTTTTGGAGGCATCTGTGGGGATATCCTTCACAGCGTTCCGGAAGTCAGCCGTGAACTCATATTTGATGAAAGGGGCTGGAAGTTCTGCCGTCTTCAGGTGACAGGCTGCCCTGGTTTCGAAGAATGTCTCCATGGATTCGAGGCTCCTTCTGTTCATTTCACGCACCGAGTGGCTGGCAGTGAATGCAGCCGAAACGACGTTAGTTATCCCAGCACTGGTCTTCACTGTCCACTCCTTGGTCACGCTGGGGTGATTCCACAAGAAGAGCACTGTCTGTACCCAACATGATTCAAGATAGAATGCAAATTCTTATGCGCATCTGTCTATGCATTGTATGTGTTCTTGTCCAGAACGGTAGCCCTTAAGACATCTGAATACCCTTCATCTGATTGCCTTCTCTTGGAGGCTCCCGCAACACACCTGCTACAAAGAACATACAAAAACAATCAGAAAGAATAAAGAGAGTCCTATTCAGCTCCCAGGAGTCGCTCATCCTCGACGCTTGTGCGCTCTTTGCACCGGTCACGATATGGTTCGAGGAATCATATGAGCACCGTGAGTCGTCCTTGACCTAGGCTGATCGATGATCAAGTTCTTTTCCTGAAAAATCGATGGTCTGAAAGAAACGGTCCATCTTGTCACGGGCGTCCTTATGGAGGCGGGTTCCAATTCTCTGAGAGGCAACACGAACCAAATGAAGGTATGAAAAGCAAAGCCACCAAACAGTTGTTGAGTGCTTGATGCACCCCACCACTTTATAGACTAGCCACCCACTCTTCTTTGAGGAAGTTCCGGTCGATGATGTCATTCTGCCAACCTGGGTCTCTATCATTGCCTTTGCTGTGCGGGTCGCCGATGATAATGTTGTAGCCTTCCGGCTGGAACCGCAAGCAAGTATTACACATGTGGCCTGACTCTAGATGACCAGGATCAGTTAATTTGCCGTCTCGCTTCCCAACTTGAGCTTTGCTTCTCCCATGTTCCATTGAAACATTTAAAGTGGTGTCACAAGCCCGACAAAACTTTTTCTTCTCCAGTTGGTTGCACAAGCATGATCCCTCAAAATACGAGGCTTTCTTTCGCGGCACGTTCCAGGTTCGGTTTGCTGTTGCTAGGTGAGAACCTGTCGCGAGTCGTGACACAATATGCATATATGTGTGCTTCACTGCATGCTTCATATTGCTATACATTACTCGAACGAACATCCTACAAGAACAAACGCACACAGAGAGAGAGAGAGAGAACATGAAAGAGAAACAACACTTCTGCAAGTCCTTCTGGTAATCTTGGTTTAGTATGGTTTTATCATTTGAGCATGTTTAATCCAACCTATGGGTGGGACGTATTCATCCAAACGTCCAACCGTGGTCTGCAACTAAGTCCGTGGCCGGTGCCAAGGTACTGAAGCGCCCGGCACGTCCCCCGTCCAGGCCACAGCGGCCACCGCCATCGACCAAGCCAGAAGCAAAGATGCCATGGTGCTGAGACTGGCGCCCTGAGGCCCTCGAGTCTCGAACTTCGAGCTTTCAAAGGTCAAAGGGTTGGCCCTCAGAAGGAGTGGGGGATGGGCATCCGTCGTTCAGGAGCTGCCCCACAAGCTATAGTCTTCCCTCAAACATGCATTATAAATTAACCACCTGGGGCGGTAGGTCTCCAAGGCTCGACATGGAGGGGGGCGTGTGTGATGCCACCATGGTGACTTCATGCATTTGTTGTTGATGGCAGCTGGTAGCAGAATAGTCTTGTGAAAGGCGAGAGACATGCATCCGCGGAAGGCATGTTGGATTTCCTTGAAGACCTTTGCATGGCTTTCGGAGTAGCCCTGACTGGCTTAGTGATCTTTGAAGCTCTACTGCATGTAAGTCAATCATATTTGGGGGCATTTGGCATGCTCACGTCTGGATGCCAAGAGTACCCATTCCTCTCCCATCCGCGGTTCACTGACACTGCTTACGGTACCTATACATATGCCCCTTCATCCGTCCCAAGTATTGGCACCTTCAAGTCGTGCAAGTACTCCTTGGAAGCAAGGCAGGTGGAAGTGGCTCTAAAATCGATTGTTGGGCTTTGGTAAGTCACAGCTACCGATGGAGTTGAATAATCGGTTCAATACAATTTCGGAAATTGCAGACTGCGTTTGTGTGAAGCACTGCACTGCAAAGTGCCACATAGTGCCACCAAAGACTGCTAAAATGAAAAGGAAGTGCTGGAATCATCGCTGAGTCGTTCAAATACCAACGAATTGCACAACCGCTCCTGCACGTAGTCCTCAGGTTTTAGAACGCTTTTGGGTACTTTGAGCTCCTGACACAGCCGGGCACGCACGGCTTGAGACCCTCCAAGATGCCAACAGTACGCTCCAGGTCCAGTTCTAAGCTAGTTCTAAGCAAACCCACAACAGTCACAGGTTGATCCTCAAATTCAGGATGCGTGCCATGCCAACCTTATAATTATCAAAGCTAGCAGCTATCCATCCAGCCGGTGGCGACGTGGGGGACGACACAGGACGAGACGGGCGACAGCGGGTCCTTCAGGATCTCCCTGGACCAATCTTCCGCCTTGGTCCCGACGATCTTCCCATGGAGCTCCTGTGGGCTCCGGAGCATCGTCTCATTGGGAAGGGATGAAGCTTCAAGGCGATTTGCAGGATTTTGGACCAGCTTAGTATCAAGTGTGACGTTCCAAAAGAACATGAGCTAAATGAGTTTCAAATGTGCGGCACTTGCTTGTGAAGCCTGAACTGCAAAGATATTCGCACCTGAGAATGATACATCCCTCTCCCGGAAAGACTTCATAGAGAGGGACTACGCAAAAAGCATGGACCCTGGCTTCCTAGGCATGCATGTCATCATTGATCACTTGACCACCTGAAGGAGGTTGGTGTATGTCAGCCAACTGTTGCCTCGCTAAGTATATCTCGGGCAGGAATGCAAAAAATAGATTAGAATATTCTCATCTCTGCCACTGTTTAAGGCGCTTGATTTCTGATTTCAAACGTTTCACCCAGGTTAGGTGTCACCGGCTGTTCTATCTAGCTTGGAGTTGTTATAGCTAGCTTTGTGGCCTTTCCCTCCTCAAACTGCCCCACCCAGCATCCGGTCCCACGGCAGCTTTGTGCCACGGCGTGCCAAAGGGGCTTCAAGCGCCACGTGGGAGACGCCTATGCTGCCAGTGTGTTCATGAGGGATGTCCACCAGTGGGTTCCAAACTGCCCCATCAATTAGGGAGCATCCTCCCACTTTCGTTCGACCAGGGGGATGGTAATCTTGAGGAATGACCAGGCAATGAGGAAAGTGGTCAACCACACAACAAGAAGGCACATATATTATTAAAGCCTCAAGTTCCAGCGACAATAGACAAACAATCAGTGCTTCAAAGAACTCCTAAGGACTTGAGGACCATCCATGTCGTTCCCCTCCCAGAAGACTGGTTTTGTCATTCCATTCGCCGTTGACCCAAAACTCTGATGGGTTCTTTCAGCCTTCGGGAGGCGGGCGCCAAAGGCACCATTGACTCTGCCAGCCAGATAGGCAAACCCCAAAACATGGTTCCACGCAAGGCATTGGTTCTCGGAACATGGACAAAGCACGCAGGAACTTGGCTTCCATCCAAAATGTCGGTTCTCAGGAACATGGACAAAGCATGAGGCTGCTTGCGCATCTCATCAAGGCCTCTGTTCTCACAACTTTCCAAAAAACAGCCTGGTGACTAGCCCGGTGACTGAGAATATCCAATGGGAAGGCCTTCGCCCGGCCTTCGAAATCGATTAGTGTGCCATCCAGGTCGAAGATGATGGCTTGCACCTCTGAAAAGCCCAGGCGGGTCACCCAGTCACGCACCAAGCCCCCTGCTCCAAGCACATAAAGACCGATGAATGGATGATGTTCTGTGGCAAACAAAGCGGGTCTTTCTGAAACGGTGGGTTCCAATTGGCCTCGCTTGAGGCCACCAAATCAGTATCAAGTACTGCAGTAAGTTAGGGCTTTGAGATGTCGCACGCCAAAAAAGCACAGTCTGTAGCTTGACAAGTTTTTGAAAACGTGTCTTGATATGTCTTGATTCATCATATCAATCGCTTAAATTGTTCCTCATGTTCCTCATGTTGCAGCGCAAGTGCTAAGCAAACATGCCTTCATTCATCGCACGAAATATATTCGACCAAATCCCACCACCGTCTGCTGCTACTACTGCTCCCAGCCACAAGAGCACCATATCAGCCACAAGAGCACGATATCAGCGACTCAATGCTGTTTGCCTCACTCTTTTCCCGCTCCCTGGCACCAGGCACCTTGCGCTTTGAGGGTGTCGCGCCCTTCTTCCTCGCCAAGCGTGGCCCCAGGATGGCTGCATTTCATGCTAGCAAAGGACCAACTAGTTATATGCATCGCTTGGCTGTTGGAAGGATTGGAACGTAGTGGAACCCCAAAAGCCTAACTGTATGCCCCTTCGCCCCTCCAATCAAGCATCTCCTCGAAACGTCCCCAAACAACCTTGGAAACCAAAGAACACATCGAGACCAGCGTCCTGCCGCGTGAGACCAAGCATAGCCTCAGGCAGCATTTACCATCATAAGCCAGATCGAACCCGGCTGGTGTTACACCATCTCGCGCAAACTGTGCAAATCCTCCAAAGCTACAATGAACGTCACTGCCTGAGCACTATGTTGCAGTAGCTTCCAGTTTTGTGTGGCATTTCTGTGGCCCTCCTTCTATAGAAATGTGCGGAATTTGCCTTACAACATATTTCGTGGACCAGCCCAGTAGTCCGGATAGTTGCGGAGTCTTCCCATTCCGCCAAAGTCACGCCAGCCCAGTCAAAGCCACACAAGAAGTCCATGCTGTCACCGTCATGGCGGCACAGGACCACGCATGGTCCGCAGTGGAAAGGGGAGAAAACTGGGGTAACTGGTGGGCCTTTGGGGGGTGCACAAGACTTCAAGAAATCAAACAGTTGACTTTCAAAGATCCAGAAACAAGCCGTGGCTGCCATGAAGGGGTCAGTGCTGACTGAACCGGCCAATGTTCCCAAACAAACTACAGCTAATGTCCTTTCATGGCTTGGTGGGGTCTGGAGACCATTAAAAATGGTTGAACATATACCGTATACGCATGTATACGCGTATAATGGATGTAGGATGACCGGCTGTGCGTCAGCCATCGTAACAAACATACACATACAAGATCATACAAGTCCTTGCGCTGCGATAGTGATCAAAGTTCTGGCTACTGAGCGGCTACTGTTGGTGTCCAGTTGTTTCCATGTGTTGCCGGTGCAGGGCTTCAGCGTGGTTCAAAGGAACTCTGAAGACCAGAGAGAGCCTCTTTGGCCAGTAAGTGAGTCGTGAATATCTTTGCCAGGGTTTCGTAAGCTGAAACGGCTGCAGCTTGGAGTCCGAGCGGTGCACAGTTTTCCCCGTGGCCCGGACCCTGAGTCTCCTAAATGATCATCGACCAGAAAACAACTGAGGTACTCCAAGTGACTCCAAGTGGTGTGGGCCGCGCAAGCCCCTACAGTACTCATGGAAAACAACAACCAAGCAAAGTCCAAAGTCAAAGTGGCTTCTGGCTCACCGGTGAAGAATTTCACCTGTATTCTCAATGCATCTCACTTCAGATGTAGAAGCAATTCCGGTAGAAGAATCTTCAAGGCATCAGTGTGCGCACACTTCACCCAAAGCCACGGCTTGCCTGAAAGTCCATTCCCCTCAAGGCGAGGTCAATTCTTCTCAGCCTCAAGGAAGCCCCGAAAAGTGGCTCAAGGAGTTTAAGGCTAGAGTGAGTGATCTCCCCAAAAGAGATAGAGAAGCTTTGCACAACATGCTTTTTCAGTGGATTCGTCGTATTTCTTCAAGTTAGAAGTGCATGGATCCAGATTTGTTGCATAAATGGCGTAGGCCCTTAGATGCCAAAGACTTCCACGGTTTCACTCAGCATCCTCCCCACTCGGACTCCCAGCAACTTCTTGTGAGGCCGCTCTGGCACGGCAGGGCGGGGGCCCTGCACACGCTCGCGGGGGCCCAAGTTGGTGCAGATGCTGTTCTCCTGCAACAGGACTGGGTGAGGCGAACCCGAAACGCAGCGCACCGGTGTTGAGGTGCGGGTCGATGGACTGGGAAGAACCGCTTTGTGGAGTCTTCCAGGTCACAGCAGAAAATGACAATTTTGAGTCCCTGACAGGGTTGCTGTGGTGAGGTCATCCATGGATATTCTACCAAAAGCGATGCAGCCTGCAAACTTGGGTGCACTTC